CAATTGTGTCAAAGTTTATGAGCTGTGACAAGATTATGAGCAATATTTTAACTACAGGAGAGTAATATATTTTGTTGCTAATGTTAGTGCAGTTTCCACAAGCAATATGGCAATCTGAAATTTAATCTTATGAATGCTCCAAGGGAAAATTAAAATAGTTAAGCTTTGTAATAAATATATAGTATATAATATTTACAAACTACATACAGTGTCATAGATTCAAATCATTTTGTATCTATTCAAGATGCATGAAAATAAGTATTTGAAAGATCTTGATTAATCTTAAATATTAAACCTACTTTACTGTAAATTTAAGGAGCATTCTTTTATTAAGTATAAGCCATGAGTTTGTCTCACATAGCATATCAATCATAATTTATCCAGTTAAGATAACATATGTTTCTTTTAATTTTGATACCATACTTCTAGGGAAAATACTTTCCTGCAAATTTGAAAAAATTTCTATAGATTACATATGAGTACATTTAGAACATATTTTTTTCAGCATATTCAACATGTTCACATACTTAATAAAAAGACAAATGCATATCACTAATTTTATTATGTTCTATGTTTATTACTGTCATTTCTGTTATAGTTATCTCATGCATACATAAAACTTTTTTTATTTGGAAATATTAGTGAAGAGAGCATGGAGATATTTACAAGACAAAATTCAGTGGCAAATGCTGCATTAATTCATTCAGAAAATAATGGTAGAGAATCTAGAGTACTATGATAAATTATGTAGAAAATACATAGAAGTGTATCTCATGCTTCTAATTCTCAGAGAAATACAATTTTTTGTTAAGATGGTTGTTAACCTAGGTCTGAAGAATGGCTGGAATTTTAATAGAAAAAGGAAACATCAAAGACTTTCAAAGTCAGAAGATAAACATGACCAAAATATTCAGAGGTAAAAATGGGCACATTGTGTACGAGAGACAGTGAGAAATGTAATATTTTAGGAAAAAATAATGTTCATATTAGTATGCTAAAATATAAAATAAAAAAAAAATGTTTCTGAGTATGTGTGTATGAATATTGTTCTGGGATGATCAGGATAAATGTATTCTCAAAAAGGTGCACTAACCCAAACTATCTCAGAGTTCAGCATAGATACAAAAGAAATACTTAACTTTTGAAATTAGGGGTACAACATGATGAAAAGGTCCCATAGTATCTCAGGTGATTTATGTACCGAATGGTTATCAAAACTAAAAACAATTCTTTGATGTTGTTGCAAATTATAAATCAACTTGTAAACAGCAGTGACAAAGGGCAGCAGCAGTTCTAATGAATCATGTAGCAGAGTCAGGTGAACTGAGTGAATGATGGAGGATGACTACTTGGATAAAAGAGATAAGTACTTTCGTCAGTTCCTTTGTTTTCTCATTTTAATGAGTGTTCCACCAATATAAGCTTGCTCTGGTATAAGGGGCCTTACGTGGCTATATTTCTTCTGCTTTTTAAAATTTAGAACAGTATCTATGGATTTTATGTGTACAAGTTAGGAAAAAAATTGTCACCACATATGCAGTACTCAAACTCAGTCTTGCAGGAAAAACTGTGGTGAATCAGGGCACATAGACGTTGAGCCTTATGGCCTTTCCCTGAAAAATGAATAAATCATACAAGAATTAAGTTACATTACATATGAAAAGTACGTAGCCCAATAGTAGTTAAGTACTAAGTTCAATAATTGGAAAATAGGGCCGGCCCGGTGGCGCACTGCTATAGTGCGCCGCTTGGGAAGCGCGGCGGTGCTCCCGCCGAGGGTTCGGATCCCACATACAGACCGGTTCCCGCTCACTGGCTGAGCGAGGCGCGGGAGCAACACCGAGGGTTGCGATCCCGTTGCCGGTCCCGGTCCGGTACGGGGGCGACACTGAGGGTTGCGATCCGTTGCCGGACACGGAAAAAAAAAAAAGACAAAATAATAATAATAATAATAATAATTGGAAAATAGTAAATTCTCTTAATATAAGCTGCTTCCGCGTTCTAGTGATTTCCCCCCCTTTTATTATTCTGATCTCACAGCTGTTAACCTCAACGCAGTCTGCCAGGATATTGTCCTCGGGTAGTCTTTGAACAGCCAGGTTTTAAACAGTGTTAAAGAAAGAAAGATTTCATGGCCTGGCAGATAAGTATAGAGTCTATTTTTGCATAGTCAATTACAGATACAATATCTCAGCACTTGGATGCTTAGTTTGCATTTGGTGAAACTAATGGGTAGTAGTCCTTTTCTGGGGTTTACAAATGAAATATGAAAACAAAAATGCAATACAGTCACCTTGTATGTACATCGATCCTCAATAACTCAGCTTGTCAGATAGGTATAGATTCACCTTTAGGGGCGTTAATTTTAACCTGAATAAAACAGAATAAACTCAGTCACGTTATATATTATATGGTGTTGATGTTTTTCTATTATGAAAATAAAGTACTTTTACTAACTTTTATTACAGAACTTTTTCTTTTCTCTCTTGTTAGCAAACCACGGGACATCTTTGCATTCCTCTCAGTTCCAGGGATCTGGCTCTGGCTCTTCCCCTTCTTTTCCACCTTCCACTCCTCCCCGTCTTTTCCTCCCTCCTGGCCTCCCTCTTTTTAAAAACTAGAAGCAAATCTTTGTGTTCTTTTCACTTTTAGAGCAGCACTGCTTGAACACTGTTGTATTGTTTTTCTCTTCAGTACTGGCCTCTGAAATCATTCACCAGGAGTCAGCCAACTGGTTAACAGTTTGTACCACTTGTGGTTGACTCTTTTTCATTAAAATATTTTGATATTTTTAAATTAAAACAAACATACACTCACAGGGAGTAGAAGTTTATTATATAGATAATACTAAGTGCAATTTTGACTTGTGCATGTAACCTCCTTTTAGTGTTTGGAGTACTTGATTGGTAAAAATATAATTTTCACACAACTCTTTATTAATTATTATGCAAAAGAAGAATATTTTTTGTTTGTTTTTAAACTTCTACTTACTTATAACTCAAAAATACCATTTTTGTTTATATCAAATACAAATTTCAAAAATTTTTAAACCATATTTTTGGCAAAGTTTCACCAAATTACTTCTATCTCCTAAATTTAAGACGCCCCATAATTACGAAAACTACAATCGTCTTAAAAAACAAAAACTTAAAGAACTAATCACTTTTTCTTATGCTACACATATTGTTTCTTATAACCTCAAATCTAATCCCCATTCATTTATTTTAATTGCTTTAATATTTAGATAACTGGCTATATAAAAAGCATTCTATATAGCTTGTGAATTTAGCCAGAACAATAATGTCAGGAAATTAAATCATAAATTTATTTGTGATAAATTTTGTAGTCAATCAATAGTTCAATGAAATTGAATAGATGTTGAATTTAAAGAAATTCCCAGTAAATAGCCATTGGTAGTTATTGGTATCCTCATTAGAGAGAAGAAATGGGTGGCTTTAAGGAAAAAACACAGAGTAGAGTCCAACATCAAGGTTCCCTTAACTGATTATATAATTATGGGAAGGCCAGAGAACCTTTTTGAGCCACAGATTCCTCATCCTTAAAACTGAGATGCTAGAATTCACTATCAACTCCCTAGAATTTTTGTGAGAGTAAAATGACTAAATGAAACTGATACTGATTTGTAAATTTTAAGCAATATGTACATACAAATTGTTGACCATTGTTCTTATGGCCATATATAATTATCCCCCAAGCTAATAAAAATATAAATTAGAACAAAGTCAATAATTCATACTTATAAAATAACTTTCAATATATGGGAAGTATAATATTAGAAAATAAGTGTTAAAGTAATACATTTTCCAGCTTTTATAAATCATTTCCTGTGTGAGTTTTGAAATGATGATGTCATTATCTAAATATGTTAATTATTAAGGAAAAGCATTAATAATTGTATTTTCTAATATTCTACATTTAGTTCAATCATGAAATAAAATGAAAATCATAACTAATCACCCATCTAGGAATCTAATCTGAAGACAATATCCTTATTACCCTCTATTAAATAAAATTAGAAATAATAAATAGATTATACTTGAGCTTTACATAACTTACTAAATATGTGTTTACATTTCTTTTATTCTTGCTTTAAATAACATTTTCTTAAATTGTTGATACATGTAGTTAACGTGAAGGTAGTATCTACATAGTAATTTTTAAAAACTATATATAAGATTTTTTTTTTAAGAAAATTAGTTAAAAGTATGTGACTTCATTCCTAAAACTCAATTGGCAAACCTAACCAAATGTGAATTATCTCATCAAAGTTGGTAATGAGACCTAATATTCCCTAGAGAACTCTAAGATAAATTTAAGGACTTATTCCCTGGGAAAATTTCCAAATTCTGGGATAGTCATTATCAAACTTTATTATGTAAAAAATTATATTTGTAACCTAATGCAGTGAGAATTTCCAAACTCATATTTTTGCTTTTTGAAATTTTGATTCAGCAAGTTTGAAGTGAAGCCGAGAAATGACTTTGAGAAATGCTAGTCTAGTCTAGGAAGGTTATTTTGCCAATCCATTACAATACAGGAAGAAAATTATATAAGAGGTTACTTATTGTATATATATTTTATAAAGCATTGTGCACAATTGTGAACACTTAGATGAAAAACGACAATGACTAAAAATATTAACTGTATATAATTTTGAAGTGGTGTTTTTTTTTTTTTTTTTTTTTTTTATTAATCTCATCAAT